TTCCCTGGCCAATTCTTTGAGAAATGGACAGCCTCTTCCTTCTTCCTAGTCTGTCTCAGTCTGTAAGCTGGGCTGATACCTGTGCACCATGTGCATCCCACTGGGTTAGAAACACCAGTGGCTCAGCCTCAAAACTCACATCAAAACGTCACCATGGTAGGAGAAACCGACAAACAAGTTTGTCTCCCTGTTGGAAACCTTTCATACCATGCTATCATATAGAGAAAATGAAAATGGCCCATGGCCCTAAAGAGTAACAGTGCTACTCGGTGGAATTTTAGTAACCTACAAGCAGTCGTGGGCAAACGAACAGTGGGAACTCAACTTGATTGAAATTATTTTCATGACAGTTCAGCACAATGGTTTGGTGACTCACAAAGTGATAATTCACTGCTACAAATTAACAAAGAATTTGGTGGTGAGGGTAATAATTGCATTAATGATACCCTTTAGTATCACTTGACATTTTAGTTAACCCATCTGTTTCCTTTTTCTTCCCAAATATCATATCAGCCAATTAGAACCATCTGAATTTTTTATATTACCAAACCAAAGGATATATCTGACAACTTTAACTGCTCATACAATGTCTTCCTTTAACTCAGTGAAATCCGATGGTTAAAAGGTATCATTTTTAAAGCATAATCAGTGTTTTACATGGGAAATTCCCTCCAGTTTTTTTTTTTTTAAATCATTAAGAAACAACAACCAAATAATCTTTGATAATATAACTGGAATTTGAAAGGCACTCTAACTAATCATACATCAGTAATTAGTTAATTCCATTTTAAACAGATTATCGACCTAAGCTAACTCTTTCTACATACTTCAGTAAATTTCTGTCATTTTACTTATTAACATCTACCCAGAATTTTTTATAGCCTAAGTTTGTCCTTGTCCTTTTAATTCTAGACATTATGGAGTATCATGGATGTATATTTCTCTCTTTCCTAACCACAAGTAGTTCTCTAGAACTATTTCCCAGAAGATAAAAATCCTACTGAAAAGTGTGCATGTGTGTGTGTGGAGATTTTAGAACCTTCACATCTTTCTCTTTTAGAATACCTATTACTGCATGATAGTATTTCCCATAAGATTATTTTTTATTTTATTTGAAGTTGGCAAAAGTCTTTGTGCTGAATCCTTTGAGCATACCTCTAGTGATAGATGTCAGATCAGCATTGTGTGGAAAAACTTTTATTTGACAGGTAGATGACAAGAAGAAGGCTTTTTCAGAAATATAAGATGTAACTGCAAAATCCTTCTGTGAGATTTAATGTAATGTTTTGTTCCTGTGTATAATGACTTCCCCATTTTTGCTTCAAACAAGTCAGTTTATGTAATTAATGTGAATAATATGAAATTAAGACACAAAAATAAAGATATGTCATTGTTCAAATTAGTATATTTGGCTTAAAATGTCTTTTAAAATACGGATTAAATGTGAAATAAGCATACAATACAAAGTTCTAATTGTATTTTTTGTCTGTAATAATACTTTGATAATGTTCAACTAAGGACACTCACTGTACATATACCATGCACTCCAAACAGGTAGCAGCTTCATAAGAGATGACTTTATCAGTACTGGGTATTCAATGTGGTATCTGATACAATGAAAAAGTCCAAATTATTTAGTTTTATCCTACAAATCTGACTATGGTTTATCCTAATTTATCACAAGCATTGCCTTATTCTCTCATGCCTTAGCAAATAATTTCACATGCCCCTGATATAAGGAGGAGAAGGAATAAAAATATTTCTTGACCAAATCCAGAATTCTGGATGATCTTCCTCGGTCTTGTTCTCTTGCCTTATACCCCTCAAAAATAAATCAGAAGTAAACATATATTCTCAATTCCATTATACACTCTATTATCTATAATGGATAGTCTCTGTTTCTCTGGGTTAGAATTAGAGGAACAAATCATTTCTGATACATATTAAAATGGTACCTCATATATATGCAATGAACATTTATTTAATGCATGCATAGAAAAGAAATTCATATCCATTCCTAGATTGGGGATTCTCGTTATAATATACTTTAAGAACTAACCAAAGTTCTACAGTGTGCTACAATGTAAGAGGAAAAAGAAATTAAAGAGTGGTGAGATGTCAAAGACAGATTGCTTGTTTTCAGAATTATTTTCGTATCTAGCTTGTCTTACAGTTCCTCACCTCAGAGTCTGTTCATTTTCTCTCTGTAACAGACATATTTTCCTTGAATAATAGGGTTTACTCTAGCCTACAAAAGGACATATATGATCACTTTTGGGTTCTTCCATTTTGTTACTTTTCACAAGATTTTATGTCTCAAAAATAATAATATGAAATGGCTCAATCAAAAGAATAAGAAGATACACAGTGTATGCTTCCTTTTTTAACCTTTTTAATAAATGCACTAGATAACTATTAAAGCTTAGTAACACAACAATAAAGAGTAATATTTTCTTAAAGTAGAATAAGCAAAGCATATTGAAAAAGAAATGTCTGCCCATTTGCTTCATTTAATTTGGTTCCTCATACTTTTTTGGAGAGATGTAAAATAATTACAGAAGGATTGAAATTCAAATTACATCTCTTTTATAAGAGTTTTTCTTTTAATTGTCTATGTACTCCATTAAGATTTAATCAGCAAAACCTTACTGACAATGTTGAATATTACCCAAGCACTGTGATCCTGAAACATCCTTACCCTTCTGTGTTCTGGAAAATGGCTGACCAAAATGACATGACTATTCCCCTCAGGTTTACTAAACTTTAGACAGGCCTCTTCTAGACTCTAAGTCCCTAATCTCCCTCTCTTCCCCCTGTCCTTTGCAGAATCCAGATGGAATATGTTCCATTTACCCTTAACAGTGATCTCAGGAGATAACTTCATGTGATCTACATAAACCATTGTTTAACTTCCTTCCAATGTCTTTAGTCCTCCAGTATTTTTTCACTCATACACTTCAGACTTTAAAATCCTTCAGGATCTCTGCTTCAAAAGACCAGGAACTCAGATTTAGTCCTCTACTCCATCCCACTGCCATGTCCCTGCTTTCCAGTTCCTTTCCCCTGTTTTCCAATAACCCTTTTACTAAACTCATCCTTGCCTGTTTTAACACTGCCTGATACAATTTTTCCTTTTACAGTACTATACTGCTAAAGAATTTGCACAGTCTCTTGAATTATCATGAAATGTTTTTTTTTAAACAGTTATTTGTTTGTTTCACCTAGCATATCCACATACCATAAAATTCACCCTTTAAAGTGCACAATTCAGTGGTTTAAGAATAATTGCTATTCAGAGCAACTGCTCTCTTAGTCGAGAGAAAGATTATTGTTATAAATGAACATTATAAAATGTCATCTTACCTTACAAAGGAAATTGATCTTAAAGCCCAACGATTGGGCATTTCTTGAGCCTGAGTTCATGTAGTTTCCAACCAAAAGAACTAACTCTAAAAGTTTGTTAAAGCTTTCACTTTTCTTTAGTTCTTCACAGGCAAGAGTTACTGCTATGATGCTTGGTTTGATGTTGTTTACGTGCTCTTCAAACGTGAGCTTGAAAAGAATGCTATTGAGACGAGGCTGCAACATTTTCACTGAGCTCATCTGTAAGAAAAGGAATGCTCTGTAAGAACACACATTTAAAACCTGTTACTTTATCCCTTTATTGGAGATAATTTCATAGATACCACTGTAACACTTCTGCATAAAATGAATTCTTTCTGGGTTTTAAAAAATGTTATTTTTGTTTAGACATTCAAATGGAATAGTTTATCAAAGTTTTTTTTTTAAATGTTAGCTATTCCATTTTAAACACATAAGTGAAGTCATTCTTATAGCATTAATAAAATATTATTGAAGCTACCTAGTTGCTATATGGGAGCTCTGGTAGCATAGTGGCTAAGACACTTTGCCTGCTAACCAGACGGCTGGCGGTTCAAACCCACCAGCCACTCCTCGGAAGGAAGGTTGGGCAATCCTACTTCCGTAGTGATACTGCCTCGGAAACCCAAGGAGGGGTCGCTATGAGTCGGGGCCGACTCGACGGCACATAACAACAACAACAACAACAGTTGCTATATATTAACTTCACAATCATGAGCCATCAACAGCATTCAAACTGTCAAGGTCTTTCCCTGAGTTTCACTAGAAAAATTTATATATTTGAAACCAAAAGAATATTAGGGCCACAGATAAAAGATGTCCATTATAACAGGCAATATAAGTGGAACCACATTTCCTAAGAAATTACCTATCACTATGCTGTTGGCAATCAGTGGACTAGCTTTGATTGAGCATTTAATAATTTTGCACCAATGAATTCTATTCATGAAAATATATTAAATATTTATACATGATCTAAAGAATTTCACTTGCTTGACAGAATGTTGATATTAAATAATTAGGCTATAATAAAAAAAACATTACATTCTAGTACATTATTCAAGAATTTTATGTGAGTCTTGTCAAGAAATTTGAACTTGGTTTTAATTAATTGTTTCATTTATTGGTATATATCAAATAATCCCTTTGTGTTTCATTATATAAATCTATTTTTTCTTTAGTATTCATATGTAAGGCATAAGACACACCCCCTACTCTCAATAAGTTTACAATCTAGTCCTTGAGACAAAGCTTTTGAGTAGCTTAGGTACTATAGGCTAGGGCTTGGCACCCAGGCATGAGTCCTCCCATCTTTTCCTATGAGGTCCCTTGTGGCCAGGCCCAGCTAGGATGAAGTGGTCACTACTGAAGTTAGGAGTGTCTCCTGTTCAAGGCTGTTTCCCCTTCCTTGCCTAAGGGTGCCATCTAGCCTACAAGCCTCACCCAGGAGCCAGGCAGGACATTAAGTTGAAAGGGACACAACCTCTGCCAATCACGAGTCTTGCATACCAGAGAATAAATTTGAGGAGTTTCCCTTTGGGGCTCTGGTCAGCTGATGCTCCAAGCCGTAGCACTGAGGGATCTAAGGAGCATCCCCCAGGTCACCCAAGTTTTCCTAAAGCCTAGATTGGCACTATTGGCTGCACAGAGGCCTTTGCTTCAATACCACACACTCTTCTACATATGCACATCAACTGCAGAAATGGAAGTCTTGGTAACTATAGGACAAGGATTAAAATTTTTAAAACATAAACTGTATTCAGAATAATAATTACTTATTCTGATACTACTGTTCCTTCAAGTCCCTGACTGCACTGCAACCAAATAACCTCAGTCAGTTTGGGTTTATTTCACTGAAAATGCACTTAATCCCAGAAAAGGAATATGGAGAAATTTTATTTCTTAACGAATTTTACAATAAAATAAAACAACTCTCCTCTTAGAAGAAAATATTTAGCCTAGACTATAATTCAGATACATGAAAAAGCTACAGTTTAATAAATTATTAATTTACATGATTGTAAAAAAGAAAGAAAGAAAGAAAACAAAAGCTTCAATGTAGCCTGAAACTCAGCACAGACACCTGAATCTCTATTGGTAGTGGTGGTAGGTGCCATCAAGTCAGATCAAACTCATAGCAGCTGCCCCTATGTACAAGAGAATAAAACACTGCCCCATCCTTGAAAACAATTTGTTGTTGTTAGGTGTAGTCCAGTCGGCCCTGATTCATAGTGAC